ATAAATACTAAAATGGTACGTTTAAAACCAACCACATCCATAATTACATTAAATGTAAATGGTCTAAACATGCCTAATATTAATAAAAGGCATAGATGGTCAAACTGGATTAAAAAGTAAGATATAAATATATGCTGTTTATAGGAAACCCATTTTGAATATATAAAGTCAGATAAAACTGAAATAGATATACCATCAAAAACTAATCAAAAGAAAGCTAGAGTGATTGTATTAATATCAGACTAAGTGAATTTCAAATTGAAGCATTACCAGAGATAAAGAGAAACCTTACATAATAACATAGAAGTCAATTTTTTTCAAGAAAACATAACAACACTAAATTGTGCATACATCTCATAACAGAGCTTCAAAATACATAAAACAGAGCTGAAAATGTCAACACTCATCTATAATTTTTAAAACATGCTGACAAAATTTAAGAATTCCTTTCCTCAAAAGAATCTAAAGAGAATAAAAACACAAGCCACAAACTAAAATCTAGAGTGAATTATATAGAAATACACACACATGTATATACACACACACACATACAAATGCTGGAAAAATATCTGTACATATTGTCACCCTGCTTATATAACTTATATGCAAAATACATCATGAGAAATGCTGGGCTGGATGAAGCACAAGTTGGAAACAAGATTGCCGGGAGGAATATCAATAACCTCAGATATGCAGATGACACCACCCTTATGGCTGAAAGCAAAGAAGAACTAAAGAGCTTCTTGATGAAAGTCAAAGAGGAGAGTGAAAAAGTTGGCTTAAAACTCAACATTCAGAAAACTAAGATCATGGCATCTGGTCCCATCACTTCATGGCAAATAGATGGGGAAACAATGGAAACAGTGACAGGCTTTATTTTTGTGGGCTCCAAAATCACTGCAGATGGTGACCGCAGCCATGTAATTAAAACAAGCTTGCTCCTTGGAAAAAAAAGCTATGACCAATCTAGAGAGCATATTAAAAAGCAGAGACATTACTTTGCCAACAAAGGTCCATCTAGTCAAAGCTATGGTTTTTCCAGTAGTCATGTATGGATGTGAGAGTTGGACAATAAAGAAGGCTGAGTGCCAAAGAATTGATGCTTTTGAACTGTGGTGCTGAAGAAGACTCTTGAGAGTCCTTTAGACTGCAACGAGATCAAACCAGTCAATCTTAAAGGAAATCAGTCCTGAATATTCATTGGAAGGACTGATGCTGAGGCCAAAACTCCAATACTTTGGCCACTTGATGTGAAGAACTGACTCATTAGAAAAGACCCTGATGCTGGGAAAGATTGAAGGCAGGAAAAGAGGATGACAGAGGATGAGATGGTTGGATGGCGTCACTGACTTAATGGACATGAGTTTGAGCAGGCTGTGGGCGATGGTGAAGGACAGAGAGGCCTGGTGTGCTGCAGTCCATGGAGGTGCAAAGAGTCAGATATGACTGAGCGACTGAACAACAACAGCAAAATGAGTCAATATTTAAGAGAACATAAAATAGGCAAAACACTTGAATGAAGACAAATCCAAATGGCCATGAAACATATGAATAAATGTTTAAGCAAAGAGAATGACTAGAAAAGAGAAACAGAATATATGGAATTAAAAATTCAGTGTAAGGGTTTAATAGCAGAATGGCACCCCACTCCAGTACTCTTGCCTGGAAAATCCCATGGATGGAGGAGCCTGGTAGGCTGTCATCCATGGGGTCACTAAGAGTTGGACATGACTGAGTGACCTCCCTTTCACTGTTCACTTTCATGCATTGGAGAAGGAAATGGCAACCCACTCCAGTGTTCTTTCCTAGAGAATCCCAGGGATGGGGGAGCCTGGTAGACTTCTGTCTATGGGGTCGCACAGAGTCGGACATGACTGAAGCGACAGCAGCAGCAGCAGCAGCAGCAGACATAGCTAAAAAGAGAATTGGTAAGGTAGATTTGGAAGAAAGAGGTGAACAAATTATACAGAATGTAGTCTGACAGCAAGATTATGGTTCAACAGGAACTTTTATATATTGTTGTTAGGTACAGTCATTTTGGAAAACACATAGAAGTTATTTAGTAAAGTTGAACATGTACATACAATGCTAATTCTAGGTATACTTTTTTGAGATCCTTCTGCACATATGCATTTAGGACTCATGTACAAGAATGTACAAAATAACATATTTGTAATAGCCCCAAACTGGAAACCAGTTGTCTGTCAGCAGAAAAGGTAAATAAATCATGATATGATCATACAATAAAATATTATACAACAGTAAAAAGAAATGAAATAGTATTATACATGACAACATTGTTGAATTTTTCAGTTATAATGTCAAGTAAAAGAAAAAAGTTCCAAATAAAATGCTTTCAATATGATTCTGTCTAAATAAAATTCAAAAGAAACAAAACTAAATTATTATTAAGGAATACACATTCAGGTTGTAATAAAACTATACAAAAAGTAAGAAAATAATTCAAGTAAGTAAAAAAATCAAGTAGGACTTCCCTGGTGGTCACTGGTTTGGAATCCACCAGCCAATGCAGGGGACATGGGTTTGATCCCTGGTCTGGGAAGATTCACATTCCATGAGGCATCTAAGCCTGTGCACAACTACTGAAGCCCACACACCCTAGAGCCAGTGCTCTGTAACAAGAGAAGCCACTGCAATAAGAAGACCATGCACTGTGACTAGAGAGTAAACCCTGCTAACTGCAACTAGAGAAAGCCGCACACAGCAACAAAGACTCAGCACAGCAAAAAATATATAATTTTAAAAAAAATCAGAGTACCCTTTTTATTGGAGAAGGAGGAAGATGTGCCCAGAAAGAGGCACACAAGGTTGGAAAGCTCTTTTAAGAAGCCTAGTGAAATATGCCAGTCAGACAGAGACAAATACTATATGTTATCATTTATATATGGAATCTAAAAAATAAAATAGATGAATATAAGAATAACAAACAAAACACATCCCCTAAGAAACAGCCATTAAACTTCTAAGAAGATAATACGATAAATGCATGATATTGTATTTAGAAAAATGTTGCTTATAGCACCATTCATAATAGCAAGAATATTAAATCAAGGTTATATAAACAAATATACCACAAGAGAATTCTATAATGATATAGATCTATATTTATTGGCATGAAATGTGGGTGACGTTTTCTAAAAGAGGATTTAAAAGAGTTTGTATGTGTTCTCATTTTTCAAAAGTTCAAAAATATTTATATGAACTAAAAAAAAATTGGAAGAATATACACCAAAATACTAACAGATACTAACAGCTATGGGCTTCCCTTGTGGCTCAGCTGGTAAAGAATCTGCCTGCAGTGTGGGAGATCTGGGTTCGATCCCTGGGTGGGAAGATCCCCTGTAGAAGGGAAAGACTACCCACTCCAGTATTCTGGCTTGGAGAATTCCATGGACTATATAGACCATGGAGTTGCAAAAAGTCAGACACAACTGAGCAGTTTTCACTTTCACTTTACAACAGCTATCTCTGGATGGTGAAATTATTGTTAATCCTTATTTTCTTCCTAATAGTTATTGATGTTTCTAGAACTTTTTAAAATGAACATACACTGGGCTCTCAGTTAAATTATAGTTAATTTTTTTGATGTGAAGCACCAAGAAATTAATACTATTTAAAAATTACAATTACACAAAATTCATAAAGATTAAATATTCTCAATCAAATACTTTTTTGGGGTTTTGTGCAAGTAGTTCAGGGACTTGGCCAGTAGCCTAGAGTATAAAATATGATACTACTCATAACTTTATGTAGGGTAATTGCCTACTTCATTAGTTACTTGATCTTGTACTTTTCAGGACTACTGGAATCCCACAATCAACTTTTTTCCTAGGTGTTTCTTCATTTAACCTCTAATTGATACCATGACTGGAAAGCCATATGTAAAACTGCAGGGATATACCTAGATAAAAAAAATAAGGTAAAGACTCTCACTGATCACATCAAATGTGTGCATGCTTAGTTGTTTCTGATTCTTTTGAGAGCCCATGGACTGTAGTAGCCTCAGGCTCCTCTGTCCATGGGATTTTCCAGGCAAGAATACTAGAGTGGGTTGCCATTTCCTCCTCCAGGTGCCTTCCCAATCCAGGGATAGAACCTGTGTCATTTGTGTCTCCTGAATTGGCAGGCGATTCTTTGTCACTGTGCCACTTGGGAAGCCCATATTAAATGTACCTAAGGTTAAGCACACACACACACACAGGAAGGGGCTAAGTTTGGAGTGTCACTAGGCATAGTATAAACTTAGAATGCAGAATGCAATAATTGTTATTATTGAATTGTTATTACTGAAGATGAAGAAAAATGCAACTAATTAAGAATAAGTGTATTTTGCAGCTGTAAAAAGTGTTGTCATTAATTGATGGGGGATTCATTTAATTCATAAATTTTTAGTATATTTGGTTTTCCATCACAATTTATTTGCTGTATGCAGCCAGGTAAAAAAAATCCAACTGACTTATTTCAATAGATTCTTAGAGTGTAGTACCAGCTTAATTTATATGTTTATAAGTTTAACTTTGATTTTTTAAAAACCTACCACTTTTTGAGAACTAAACTACCAGTAAGTTGGTATGTGTAATCATAAAAAATTTTTTAGTCTTTGAAATACAAATGTCTCCCAATATTAAAGTTATTTTGCTTTGGCCTGATACTGTTTGCCTGGATAAGATACTTCTGAACTTACAACAATAAGGTTTTATGTAACAATCACTTCCCTTCTCTTCTCCTTTAGCCTTAACTTTATCTGAAACTATTATAAAAGGTGGTAGACTTTGTGTTGTATTTTGATTTTATTTTTATTTTAGCAGAGTATTTAGTCTTTTTTTCTCCCAACTCATAAAACTATTTTTAGAAATCCCCAAATTGAATTGGAGCTTTCCTATTATATTGTCTGTATTTGTAAGGCTAGATTTGCCCAGAGTTTGCCCAGACTTGACTATTAAAATGTACTATAACAACTTCATTCCAGTTGAAATCACCTTTTTCCTGATTCTTGTCAAGAAGTTCTTTCAAAGCATTTTCTAAAAAACTGAAATCTGTTCCAGGTTCTTCCTTTGACGGAGTTATACTAAGTGGTCTGTGTATTATTCTGTCAGGCTCAGCAACACCATTATTAGTCTGCTGTTTATCTAAAGAAACTGTTGCTGATGCTGAATAAATATTTCCTAAATGATCCATTATAGGAAGCAAATATAATTCTGGTTGAAGAGCCTAAAACATACAGGAAATTTAAAAATTAGTTTATACTTTAAAAAGCAATAAGTTAAAAAATTGGCATAAGTTTAAAATGTCAAATTACACACATATGGAGGAACAAATGATTTGAGTTTCAGTTCTGATTCTTGCTTTGTCTTCACCTACAAACAAATGAAAAAATAATTAAAGCTTTTGTAGCATTTTACAGTTACTTTTAACCTCACTTTTTTGCAGAAGGCATATATCTGTGATATAAAAATCACATCAAATAGTTGGTACTAAAGCTGGTAACTGAGCTAGATTCTAGAAAAGGTAGAATATATCCTACTTGTATTCAGTGTACTAAATATAATAGAAACTCTATGTTATTTAACAACAGTAATTATGGCTCTCACTTGCATGGACTTACTATGTGCCAGGTACATATGTACAATGCTTTACACTTACATACAAAGCTCAGTTAATCCTCACAGTTCCATGTGATAGGCATACATATTGTCTGTAGTTCACAGATGAGACTGAGGCAAAGAGAGGTTAAGTATCTTGCCTAAGATTTTAGAAATAGGAAGTTTCCAAGTTGGGATGCAAAACCAGGTAATCTAGTTCCAGAATCCAACTTTGTAAACCTTACTTCCTAAACGTTAGACCAACAGAGTTAATTTGTTACTTGTTTATTCATTCAACAAGTATGGAGGAAGTAGTGTGTCAGGCAATGTTCTATAGGGTGGGGATACAATGGTAATGTGAAGTCCCTGCTCTCATGTAGCTTATATTCTGCTTGGAGAACAGATGTTAAAATAAACATGATTTAAGGTAGTGATATGTGATTTATGAAAATAAAATGCAGTGATGTAATAGAGAGTAATTCAGAGAAACAACATCTGAAAATTAGGTGGTCAGGGAAGACATTTTGTAAAAAAAAAAAAGAAAAATAAGGACAATAATTGAGCTGAGAACTGAATTATGAAAAAAAAAAAAAAAAAGCAATCTATTTGAAAATCAGGGAAGTGATTTCCAGGCAGGTACAAAGATGATGAAATAGATGTGTTTGGCTTCATGTGAGGACCAAAGGAAGATTTTGTGGCTAAAATGTAGAACCAAGAAGAAAATAGTAGTAGATGAAATCTGAGAGCCAGCCTGTTCATGAGACTCTTCTTATCTCTTGCCTAACCACTGTAAGACTCCTGGTTACAATTCCTGTCTTTGGTTTCTTAAGGCTCTCATCACGTTATCTTCTGCTCAAAATCTACCAAGTGTCAGAAAAAAAAAAATCCAAATTCATTAATCTGGCATTCAAGACCTTCAACCACCTACGTTTACAATTGTCTACTATTCCCTTTCACACAGTCAATGCTCCAGTAAAAACTGAACCACTCACTTTTCTGTAGTTGCCTGCTTTGCCACTTCCGTGCTCATTCTGTTTTCTCTACTCAGAAAGCTTCTGCTACCCAACATTTTTGCAAGATCAAATCAAGATCAAGATCTGTCAAAATCCAAACTGATGATCACTTCTTTCCTAAAGTTCTCCATTTCACCTGTTCTCTTTCTGGAAGGAGTCTCTTTTTCTTCTAAATATACAGAATCAGTTCAGTTCAGTTCAGTCGCTTGTGTCCCACTCTTTGCAACCCCACGGACTGCAGCACGCCAGACCTCCCTGTCCATCACCAACTTCAAGTTTATTCAAACTCATGTCCATTAAGTTGGTGATGCCATCCAACCATCTCATCCTATGTTGTCCCCATCTACTCCCACCTTCAATCTTTCCCAGCATCAGGGTCTTTTCAGATGAGTCACTTTGCATTAGGTGACCAAAGTATTGGAGTGTCAGCTTCAGCATCAGTCCTTCCAATGAATATTCAGGACTGATCTAGGGCTTCCATGGTGGCTCAGATGTTAAAGCATCTGCCTGCAATGCGGGAGAGACCCAGGTTTGATCCCTGGATTAGGAAGATCCCCTGGAGAAGGAAATGGCAACCCACTCCAGTATTCTTCCCTGCAGAATTCCATGGACAGAGGATCCTGGTGAGCTACAGTCATGGGGCTGCAAAGAGTCGGACATGACTGAGCGATTTCACTTTCTTTTTCTTTCTTTCTTTTTTCCTTTAAGATGGACTGGTTGGATCACCTTGCAGTCCAAGGGGCTCTCAAGAATCATCTTCAACACCACAGTTCAAAAGCATCAATTCGTTGGGACTCAACTTTCTTTAAGATCCAACTCTCACATCCATACATGACTACTGGAAAAACCACAGCTTTGACTGGATGGACCTTTGTTGGCAAAGTAACGTCTCTGCTTTTTAATATGCTGTCTAGGTTGGTAATAGCTTTTCTTCCAAGGAGCAAGTGTCTTTTTAATTTCACGGCTGCAGTCACCATCTGCAGTGATTTTGGAGCCCCCCAAAAATAAAGTCTGTCACTGTTTCCACTGTTTCTCCATCTATTTGCCATGAAGTGATGGGACTAGATGCCATGATCTTAGTTTTCTGAGTATGAGTTTTATGCCAACTTTTTTACTCTCCTCTTTCACTTTCATCAAGACGCTCTTTAGTTCCTCTTTGCTTTCTGCCATAAGGGTCGTGTCATCTGTATATCTGAGGTTTTTTATATTTCTCCCAGCTTGTGATTTCAGCTTCTGCTTCATCTAGCTCAGCATTTCTCATGATGTACTCTGCATATAAGTTAAATAAGCAAGGTGAATATATACAGCCTTGACGTACTCCTTTCCTGATTTGGAACCAGTCTGTTATTCCATGTTCACTTCTAACTGTTGCTTCTACCTGCATACGATTTTCTCAAGGGGCAAGTCAGGTGGTCTGGTATTCCCATCTCTAAGAATTTTCCACAGTTTATTGTGATCCACACAGTCAAAGGCTTTGGCAGAGTCAGTAAAGCAGATGTTTTTCTGGAAGTCTCTTGCTTCTAGAGTTTCCCAAGAGAACATACTGGTCATAACAAACACCCTCTTCCAGCAACACAAGAGAAGACTACACATGGACATCACCAGATGGTCAATACTGAAAACAGATTGATCATATTCTTTGCAGCCAAAGATGGAGAAGCTCTCTATAGTCAGCAAAAGCAAGACTGGGAGCTGACTGTGGCTCAGATCATGAACTCCTTATTGCCAAATTCAGATTGAAATTGAAGAAAGTAGGGAAAACCACTAGAGCATTCAGGTATGACCTAAACAAAATCCCTTACGATTATACAGTGGAAGTGAGAGATAGATTCAAGGGATTAGATCTGATAGACAGCCTGAAGAACTATGGACGGAGGTTCATGACATTATACAGGAGGCAGGGATCAAGACTATCCCCAAGAAAAAGAAATGCAAAAAGGCAAAATGGTTGTCTGAGGAGGCTTCACAAATAGCTGAGAAAAGAAGTTAAGGCAAAGGAGAAAAGAAAAGATATACACATCTGAATGCAGAGTTCCAAAGAAGAGCAAGGAAAGATAAGATAGCCTTCCTCAGTGATCAATGCAAACAGAGGAAAACAAAAGAATGGGAAAGACTAGAGATCTCTTTAAGAAAATTAGAGACACCAAGGGAACATTTCATGCAAAGATGGGCACAATAAAGGACAGAAATGGTATAGACCTAACAGAAGCAGAAGGTATTAAGAAGAGGGGGCAAGAATACACAGAAGAACTATACAAAAAAGATCTTCATGACCCAGATAATCATGATGGTGTGGTCACTCACCTAGAGCTGGACATCCTGGAATGAGAAGTCAGTGGGCCTTAGGAAGCATCACTATGAACAAAGCTAGTGGAGGTGATGAAATTAAAGTTGAGTTATTTCAAATCCTAAAAGATGATGCTGTGAAAGCGCTGCACTCAATATGCCAGGAAATTTGGAAAACTCAGCAGTGGCCACAGGACTGGGAAAGATCAGTTTCATTCCAATCCCAAAGAAAGGCAATGCCAGAGAATGCTCAAACTACCTCACATTTGCATTCATCTCAGACACTAGGAAAATAATGCTCAAAATTCTCCAAGCCAGGCCTCAATAGTATGTGAACCGTGAACTTCCAGATGTTCAAGCTGGACTTAGAAAAGGCAGAGGAACCAGAGATCAAATTGTCAACATCCGTTGGATCATTGAAATATACAGAATATGCTGTTTTAATTATTTCTATATTTTATCTTCACCACTAAACTGAATATTCGTTAAGGGAAAAATCTATGTCCAATTCTTTTTTTCTCTCATTTTGTATACAGAAAAACATCAATAATTATTTGTTGAAAACAATAAATTATTAGAAACATTTTAGAACTTGATTTTAATTACTGTGAAATCACTTCTAATTTAGAATTCTGTGGCTGATATTTAGTAATTTACATATCATGAAAAAGAACAAACATTTATGGGAGTAATTCTTTTTCTTCCGAGATTCAGTTCAACTCAGTTCAGTTGCTCAGTCATTTCCGACTCTTTGCGACCCCATGAATTGCAGCATGCCAGGCCTCCCTGTCCATCACCAACTCCCAGAGTGTACTCAAACTCATGCCCATCGGTGATGCCATCCAGCCATCTCATGCTCTGTCGTCCCCTTCTCCTCCTGCCCTCAATCCCTCCCAGCATCAGGGTCTTTTCCAATGAGTCAACTCTTCACATCAGGTGGCCAAAGTATTGGAGTTTCAGCTTCAGCATCAGTCCTTCCAATGAACACCCAGGACTGATCTCCTTCAGGATGGACTGGTTGGA